GATAGATCGAGGGAAGGATGGATGATGGATGGATAGATCGAGGGAAGGATGGATGATGGATGGATAGATCGAGGGAAGGATGGATGATGGATGGATAGATCGAGGGAAGGATGGATGGAGGGAGGGAAGGATGGATGGATGGAGGGAGGGATGGATGGATCGAGGGAAGGATGGATGGATGATGGATGGATAGATCGAGGGAAGGATGGATGGATGATGGATGGCAATCTGACAGGAAATGCATTCTATAAGTTCTTCATATTTATATTTTTCCCTCCTTGTTTTTCTTTAACCAGACGTAGAAATGGATCAACCAGATTCCCAGAGTTGGGATGTTCGTCTCGGTTCGTCACCTTCTGCGAAGTCCTGTGCGTCGTGGAAGTCGACCTGACGCAGAGCGCGCTCTCCTTCGATCAGGTCGCTCTTTGTGCCGCACACGTAGATTTTACAGTGCTGCAAACGCAGAGCAGCAAATAAATCTCAGATAAAACCAGGCAGGAAATAAATTGTCACATTAAAGTTGACCCACTTCCTGTAGCAGGTGAGGATTGATCAATGGCCTAATCCAAACCTGTTCATCACATTTTTCACATAAAATGGTTCTTCTTTCATAATGGGTCGCTGTCACTTTCAATTCAAACAAGCTGGAGTTCTGCTGCGGTTCCTAGGTAACGGGTCTGGGCTGCAGTTGCTAAGTAACCGGTCTGGGCTGCGGTTGCTAGGTGACGAAACATTTTGGATGTTTTGAAACGGATCATTTTCCAGACACCAAAAAACATCTGGGTGGTTTTTAATGAAGAAAATAAAATAATAAAATAAACAAAAACATGAAAAATATAAATTTTATATTCATAGGTTTAAGAAATAAACATTATGAAAGTAAAATCTCCATTAAATCTGCAGTTTATAAAAATATTTATTTTATTTTTACTCAAAAAGTGTTTTTTAGAGATCTTGTGAAACAACCAAACAGAGCCAAAAGGCGGGTCTTAGTGCTGTCAATCATGCCTCATATGGCGCTGCTCTGCTACACTGCAGCTAGCCTTTCCTGAATGCTAGTCTAGTGTTTCTCTACCGGTAATTAGTTTCTCCTCCATCAGCACATTTAGTAGCAGGTACGAGTCTGACCAACAGCGCTAAGCCCCGCCTCCTGGCTCTGATTGGTTGTTTTGCATTAATTTCTTCAGACAGCATGTGAAGATGGATCTACCTCATAAACATGGAGAGTTTGAATAAATGCTATTTTAATAAACCGTATGCAGCAGGAAGGAAACACTCTCACCTCCTCACAGTTCTGCAGCTCCTTCACCCAGAACCTGGCTCTCTGGAAGCTGCTGCTGTCCGTCAGATCTGAGGCACAAACAGAGAAACTCAACATCCTGCAGGTTTCACTCAGTTCAAAGAGCAGAGCAACGCAAAGCAGGAAAATGGAGCTGAAGTAAAATAAGGGATTCCTCACGGCAGGAATCCCACCGTGGAAAAACAAACGAATCCATGAAGCTTTTGGGATTTTACACAAAATGTTCCTCAGAGCAGCTCCATCAGACGGCAGATTTATTTTCATCATCAGGAGTTATCTGCTAAGAGGTGCAGGAAGCCTCGCTCTGGAATATGTGCATTAATAATTAAACAGGGTTTCCCCCAGAAAACCTGCTCAGCCTGGCAATCGGGGCGGTCCAACGTGTGTTTGTATTAAAAGATGTTAAATAGACAGGAAATGTAAAAATATAACTGGGTAATTATATGTTACCGGAAAACATCCCCAGTGAAATCCCACCTAAACCCACAACTAGCCTTAAAAACAATAAAAAAAAATAAAAAAAAAATACAGTTAAAATGAATATCAGTTATTTGCGCTTTGTTTAATCCAAATCAACTCAGCGGCTCCATCGGACCCCAGGGCTTCAGGGCCCCATAAATGCTAATATTTTAACACAGATACATGAATGTAACATTTATTTATTGAGATGATCAATGCTGCTGAATTTGATTTAATGGTTTCAACATAAATTAAAAATATTTTAAATTGTTTAACATTTAAATGCAAGATTTTAAGGAGCTGGCAAGTTTAGTTTGTAAAAGTTCAAAGAACAATATTCATAGTTAGATTGTTTTGTTACCATAGCAACAATCTGATGCTGAGTTTAATCTTTGAGTTTGAGCTGTTTGTTCACAAATACAAATTAATAAACTGTAATTATAACTGATTGTTTTTAGGTTGGCCAGTTAAACTCCTCCTCCTCTCAGATTAAATCCAACACAGAAGCTGTTAGAGCTGCTGATGTTTTAGCAACAAGAGGGGCCCCTCAGTCAGATTCTGCTCCAGGCCTCATCCACCCTTGGACCGGCCCTGCAGGATGAGTTAAACCTGCTGCACTGAGCAGAGATGCGCAACAAATGGGAGATTTAATTCAATGCTGCTAATGTGGCTTTAGTAGCTCTGACATTTCTGTCTGTTGAGTTTTAATAAGCGTCACAGAAACGGTTTTGGTTGCTAGAGTTTGTGGGACAAGATTTTCAGATCTCTGCGCGGCTGTGCACATTAACCTCTTTCCCCCTGCATTCATTTTACCCCCCATTAGGGGGAAAGAGGTTAAATCTATCTGACTAAGTGGACAAAGCATTTGATATGGTTTGATGCATTGTGTAACCGGAAAAATAATAAGAAAATTTGAAAATTCCTGAAGAAATCTAACCGGGGCCTGCCAAAGTGTGCCCGTCAGTCTGGACCCAGGGTTCTAATGCTAAAAATTAGCATCAATGCTAAGCTTACCTAAATTGTAGTCAATAGCCTGTGGAGAGTCACAAGAATGTTGACTAACCTGGACTTGCACCATTCAGTATGTTAAAATAAATGAATCAGCTAAAATTAGCCTAAATGCTAATGTTAGCATGAATTCTATCAGTAGCATGTGGGGTATCACAAGCATGTTGTCTGTCCTTGACTCCTGAGAGCAATATTGAGGCTTTTATTTTGAAATTTTCAGTAAGGTTCATATTAAATGGCCACAGTAATCCAATGTGTAACAGTGGTTGGGATAAGCCAGTTATACAATGGCCAAAAGAGCAATAACCTGATGTAAAAAATGTCAAGGTTTTTATTTAGAAATTTTCAGTAAGCTTCATTTTAAATGACCACACTAATCCAATGTGTAACAGTTGTTGAGTTAAACCAGTTATATACTGTCAAAAACAGCAAGTAGTTCTGAATGCCAGCTTATCCTGCTCTGTAGTCACTGAGTGTCCGCCATAGTTACAAAGATGGCCGTGTTTGTAGTCCTAAGCAGCAGCAGTGCTGCTGTTGCCATGGTGATTAATCCTCTCTGTCAGCTGTCAGGGGCAGACATAAGTCCATCTGTTTGAGCCAACCAGTTTCACTAAAAAAAGCAGTCCGAACAACTCCTTCCCGTTCGGGAACCGTGATACCTATTAGAAAACTGTCTGAAGCTATGAGAGGGCTATTTGTCGTCTCCGATAGTCCCGCGATTCATCTCTACCTCACTCACTGTAATAACAGTGATGAGAGAAAAATGGTGTTCGCTGAGCTCTGAAATTTTTCAGCATGAGCTTACNATTTNACGGGATGCGTATCAATGTCATGACCGACTTTGATTCCAATAGGGCGATATTTGTGGGCGTGAGGGCGAGTTAAAAAATATTTTGGGGTCAAAAATCCACTCCGTTCCTTACTTTAGCGGAGCGGCAGTTGTACTCTAATTTAAAACTTTGGTGCGCTTAGAGACAAGTTGTGGACAAACCGTACGCTGTCTTCACTTCTGAACAGAGCACGGACGTATCTACAAAGTGAAATTTCTACGTGAATTCATAACACAGAAATGTCTGAAAAATAGTGGATTTTTAGGATTTTTTTTCCTCACTCCATTGACTTGAATGGGACTTCGGGGCGTCATTTGTCGCGATTTATGTCACCATGGTAACTCCAAATCCCACTAAAAGTAATAGCTCCCTTTTCGAGATTGAGTCGCATGTTTTGATACCACTTTTGTGGGGGCGCACGCAGCGGTATGAGCCGCATTAACGGTGACGGAAGAAAAATAGAGACATTCTATTAGGTGTAGAACAATAGGTGCCTGCCATGCATTGCATGGGAGCCCTCCCTCTGCATTGCTATGGGCAGGCCCCAATAATATAAAACCAGCGTGCTGTGTGACTACGAGGCGGGCACAAAAGCTCCTCACCGGGCTGAACCTGCATGATGAGGTTAGCACTGGTTCGTTAACCACTAAAGCTCCGACCAACCGGGAACATAAACTTTACAAAGAAGACAGCGCCACACCCTGGGCAGGTGTTGACATGTAAACGCTGCACATCATTCTTTGTTCACAAAGATAAATCGTTCTCGCCACTCACTCAACGCACCTCAGAAAGCGACTACAACTTATTCCTGCGGTTCACATTGAGCTGCAACCAGAGCTAACGCGGCGGGTTTTAGACTCTTACCCAGAGTTCTCCAAAGGATTATAATTCCTCACAGTAAGTTGATGTAAATATCCATACAGGTCAGCCTGAGTCCAGTCTGAGCGGACCGCACTGAGGGAAAGCAGCGGCAGCGCGAGGCGGAGCGCAGAGGCGCCAGCTCTGATTGGTCCGCTCTCCGGCTTGAAATGCATAAACTATAAACTCTCTTTTAGAAATAAATCTGATATGCCAGTGAAATTCCCAGAACAACAGAGACGCTTGCAATTCGGCTTTAACATAAAAAAAAATACTTAAGAATTTTTTTCCCCCAATTATTAATTTTTCTAAAAATAAAACAAGCAACTCCTAGCCTGGCAAGCATGGAGGGCCGCCAGGCTTATAATACACTGGGGGAAACCCTGCTAAATATCATTTTAATGAAGTAAAACAGGAAAAAATAACTGCATCCTCTCTGTAGTTCCTTTCTAATTAAAAAATGAAAAAAACAATAGAAAAAAAATCATCCATCTTTGATTGAAAATAAAGAAATTCATCCAGCAGCTTTTAGTGGATTATCAGCGGATTATCAGCGGATTATCAGTGGATCACCATAGCAGACCACGGCGGCCCGGGCTCCTCGGTAGTAGATCCGGCTCATGGCCTCGTAGCGCTCCGATCCGGCCGTGTCCTGTCAGAAACAACATGGGAAATTTAAAGGAACATTCCTCATTTTAAATCAACATCAATAAGATATTTCTGATATGAAGCTGCAGATTATTTGTCAGTTTGAAGGACTTGCCATCATTCACCTTTGACCTTTATTACTCACCCAAATCCCCAGAGTGATGACTGTGTCTGCCACCTGGATGGGTTTGGCCACAAACGCAGCGCCGATTGTCTGAGGGCGACACAAACGCAGCTTAATGTTCTGATCCGAATATTTTTTTCTCTCTTGCTCTCGATGAAGGCGGACGCTTTTTCCCTCTGCTCCCTCCCTGCCCTTGCCTGCACTGCTTGCTCTGTTTTTGCCCTGTCGTTTCTGTATTTTTGGAGCCTTTCTTTGCACATCATCCAAATCTACAAATTATGGATCTGGTCACCTGATCTCTCAATGCAATTGATCAAATTTTCAACGAGAAGTCTCTTGTCCTGCAGGGACACACCCGGCAGGATTCACCCTGGATTTATTCATGATAACAGGATTTCTGCTGTTTGGAGTTTGTGGATTCCTGGATTATTGATAAATTTGTGGCGGACTTGGCTGAACTAGCGAACACTCAGACTGTTGGTGTGGACAGAGACGAGTTGGATGCGAGTCTTGCTGAGACTCGCAGCCCAGCTGAGGACTCTACACTCAATAAAATGAACTTAGGGGGTTATTATATTGACAAAGGAATATCATGTACTTTTAACACAATAATTTCATGTTTCAAATGAAAACGTGATAAAATCATGTTGGATAAACAAGAAATTCAACAACTTAACTTTTATGAAATTTAATCATGTTGAGATAACATGACTCATTTTAGTCAGACTGATCTTGTGCTGAAGACGACTAGCGAGATCACGGAAGATCACGCGAGATCATGGGAAATCACACGACATCACACCAGATAATCGTTTTGCGTGCTGGGAAAACTCCAGCGGCAGTTATGAGAAGACTACATTTTCCTGGCAGCATTGTGTATATATCATAGGCGCCGGAACGGGGAGGGGGCCAGAGGGCCATTGGCCCCCCCACTTTACGGCCCTGCCCTGCCCGTTCATTGGTCCCACCAGACATTTACACAGACTGCACACAGCTCTGACAATCTGTGACTGACATCTCTCTGTACTTATATAAAGACAGAGGCACAGATAAAACCTACAGCATCTGGACCAAATCTAAGGCCCCAGATCATAACAGTCACCCAAAGGTTTACACACGCTCCAGCTCCGGGTTGGGTTGGGATCAGGAACCGGTCTGACACCTAAAAAATAAAGCTTTGACTCTGGGTCCCTGTCTCAACCAGATCTTCCTAAAATGAAATGAGCAATCAAAATGCCATACTTGTAGAACTGTGGCGACGTTTTCTTTCCCCCATTTTTCCCAAAAAAAACCCCAAAAAAACATCCGATGTCAGCCCATGTCCGTTAACGGGTCCGGACCAAATGTTCACCCACACTTTGCCCAGAGCAGATTGTTTTTGCTCAGGTCGAAAAATAATCGTGCGACTAGCTTTTTATTTATTTATTGTTTTGGTCCAAAAGCAGCCAGCCAACCATCAGTAGCCATAAGAGTCGATGGCTGCCGATGGTTTTCAGGTCTCTGTTGGCTGTTGATTGAAATTCATTTTTGTTTGTTAAATAACAAGCACATTAAAATTTAATCATGGTGTTTTTCATTTTGTTTTTAATACAAAAAATATTGTCATCAGTTCAGCTGGTTATCTGTCTGTAGTTGTACAGCTGTACGCATTGTGCGGACCTTGAGATTTTCCTTTAAGTAAAAAAAGAAAAGATAAATTTTTGGATTTTTTTTTTATTATCTAACCGTCTTTAAAATTGCGGAGAAAAAAAATATTTTGTGTGAAAACCTCATGTACACAGCTCAAACTGTGTGCTACATACAAGATATATAGCATGTAGCACACAGGTGGGGGGTTGGGAACGCCAAAGCCTAAATGCTAAATTGGTCAGTTTACTTTTGTTTATTTGGCAGCCTGGCGCTTTTTCTGTAAGCTAAAAATGAATGAGGTGTGAATGCCCCTGTAGTTCTAAGAGCATTGATTTGGATCCTGGCTGTCGTGATTCTGTTATGATTTTCTTTATGTGCACACATGCACATGAGTCTTCTTCACACCTGTACAATAAACTTCATGCTCGACAAAACCAGTTGTGTTTTGGTAGCAGGTTGGAAAATTACAGTTGCTCCTTTATTGTACAACCATCAACATTCTAACCTGTCTTAGTCAGACAACAAATAAGGGTGAACAATTATTCTAGGCCACTTATTTTGAAAAAATGTGATTTAGTTTGGCCTGGGGTCTTTCTGCATGGAGTTTGCATGTTCTCCCTGTGCATGGTGGGTTCTCCGGTTCCTCTCACAGTCCAAAAACATGACTGTCAGGTTAATTGGCCTCTCTAAATTGGCCCTAGGTGTAAGTGTGTGTGCATGGTTGTTTGTCTGTCTCAGTGTTGCTCTGCGACAGACTGGCGACCTGTCCAGGGTGTACCCCGCCTCTCACCCGGAACGTTAGCTGGAGATAGGCAATAGCACCTCCCGACCCCTTTAAGAGACAAGGGTGTACAGAAAATGGATGGATGGATGGTGATTTAGTTTCTTCGGAATATGCTTGTGCTTACTTTTGTTTTTCTTACTTGTAGACCAAAGATGTTGTTGCCATAAGGACTGCTACCCTGGGATGTCTCGCAGTTTTCCTCGACAACGATGGAGGAGAGTTCTACAATGTCTCTTGTATGTATTATAATTCTGTTTGTCAGAGGTTGTGCACAAGAAAATCAAAACTTTCACCTCATTCTTTTTTTAATTTGTACTTTTCTTATTATCCACAGGATTCAGATGCCATGGCAGACTTCATCCAGGTTCCTGTGGGGTTATTGACTGTTATGTTATGCTAAGTATATCATTTTGTTAAAATAAAATGTTGAATCTTGTAAATTTAAAATCTGTGCCTGTGGTAGGCTGAACTATTTTGAAGTTTCTTGTTACTAATTAAACACTGACATTAAAGGTTTTGTTTAAACTATTAATTGAAACTAGCTTAAATAGATGTTCAAATGAGTTGCCATCTGCCACGATTTTATTCCTTTTGTAGTAAAGTGCCTGCACTGCACATGGTAAAGAAAATGGATGACAATTTTGAAAATACAGTTCTGTTGTACCCTTTCTAATTGTTGAGTGTTCTTTCTACCCTGACACCCAGTGCGCTCTTGAAGCATGAAGCATGTTTGTTGAGCTAACTTAATTTTCATGGGTTGGATCAACTTAATTAAGTAGTGTGAAGGTATCACTGTAAAATAAGTTGGTTTCAACTAAATTTGCATTCATCTTAGTCAAGTTAAGTCAATTATTTGGTCCAAAATATTGCAAATTAGTTGGTCTGGCTCTATTAAATTACATTTGGTCCAACTAAAGCAAATGAGTTGAATCAATCTTAATAAATTAAGTTGACCCAACACATTTGCTTTAAATTGGAGTAACAGAATTTCATAGTGCTGAAACAAAGCAAAGTAATCAGATGGAAATCCTTTCCATGATTTTTTTTAATGTTAATCCAAAGAGTTATTTTTTTCAGTGTAAAACTCACTAACAGGATGGAATCGATCTTGGAGAAGTTGCTAGTTTCGGCTCAGTGGAACGACCAAACTAATTTGGATGATTGGGAAGTGAGATGTATCAGAGAGACTTTAGGGAAGATTGAAATTTATAATCTTCCCGACCTAAGACGTTCTGTTTCTGACTTGGCTTTTCCTGTGTGGCCTTGGAAGGGCTGCATATCTCTAATCTCCTTGAAGATATGTAAACATAACGCTCCTTCCCTCCTCACCCCCTCCTGTATACATGCAGCTGTGGAGCTGAGCGCTCCCAAGGACATTCCTTGTTAAACAAGACCTTTATCGGACTTTTGCCGGGAGGTTGGGCAACGTGGTTTCATGGCCCTGTGACGTCACCGCCTTCAGTCATGTCTTTGTTTTGCCCTTTGTTTTGTCTGAATGTTGCCATTTGCCCTACTGTGTCCTTACCTCTTTTTTGTTTTATTTTGTTAGAAACTGTGGAGTACTCCCTATTTATCCCAGAAAAGGATTATTTTAGTTTATTAGTAATATTAGAAACTGTGGAGTACGCACTATTTAGATCACTATTATACAGCCCAGAAATGGAATCAGAATTAGAATTAGAATAACTACGAATGTGGAATCCAGAAAGACTTAACAGAAAGAGTCACTGCTTAGTTACTTTTATATTTCTACTCTTTAGAAACTGTAGCTACTCACTTTACACCAGAAAAGGACTTAGTTTAGTCATTTTTGCTTTATTCTTCTTCTTTTTCTTTCCTTTGGTTTGTTATTTTGTTTGTATTTCCTTTTAATTCATGTAAAGCACTTTGAATTGCCTTGTTGCTGAAAATGTGCTATATAAATAAAATTACCTTACCTTAATATGGAAAATTATCACAACTAAAACATGACAGGAATCAGAAGTTTACATACACCAGGATCATATCAGTTTTTAATTAATCTATCGGTTATTCTGACAATCAGATTACAAAACTGGCACAAGCTGCACATTTTTTAAAGTCTTTTTTATCTAATATTAGAAATACATATAAATAAAATAATAATTCAATCCTTTTTAAAATAAGACAATAAACATTTTATTCCCTTAAAGTCGGTAACTTTTTACTTCTTTGATCATTTGAAACAAAAAATGAGAAAAGATGTAGAACAATACAGAGAGTAGAGATTATCTGGGGATTATTTGTTGGATTATCAGATTAATAATTCAACAGCAGAAGGTTTTATTGCAGAATGTGAACCAAGTGAAGCAAAATGAGGAGTTTAGGCTGGAACAGATTTTAACTCATATTCAAAATGTTTATTTTTTTTATACAGTTTACAGTTTCAATTAGAATTACCAAGTTATTTCTGATGAGACACCTGGAGAGTTTGTTGGCAAAAAGTGAAACCTGCCCTTCACCTGACCTTCACCTGCCCTTCACCTGACCTTCACCTCCACCAGAGCTTCCAGTTGCGTCAGGCAAACTGGTCCCTACTGGAACCAGCAGTCTGAAGTTTCTACTGCTGTCCAGAAAAGATCAAATTAAAATCTTAACATGGAAAATGTTTGGTGCAACACAAAGTCTCCATTCAGGTTTCTGTTTCTAAATGAATGTAATTTATTATAAAAATGGACCAAAATCAATCATCCAGAGGCTTCACTCACATGAAAACTTGTTCCCTTTTAACAAACTTTAATGAAATAACGCAAAACTGAACCACATAATGTTCCTGTTGCTTAAAAGATTCAGAAACAAATTTAGAAAATATGAAATATGGCTTTTTTATATCTTGCAAATCTGCAAAAGCCTTTTAGTCTGATTACTTTCTCACTTCATTAAAACATTGAGCTGAGTTTACTGTTTATTTAGCAAGTAAAAATAAATTAATAAAACTGTTTTTGGGTATCACTTTATTTGAAGGGGGGGTGAATAAGACTGTCATGACACTGTCATAAACATGACATAACACCTGTCATGAACATCAATAAGCCTTCATGAATATTTATGACTGTTGTCATAAAGCGTCATTCGGTAAATTATGACACTTTTAATACAAAGTTGACATGATTCAAAATGTCTTTGTTATGACAACTTGACATTAACCAGGAAATCATTACTGTTTAAACTTTACCTTTAATAACATAAAGTTACCTCATTTTTAAAGTGCAATCAGTAATACTTTTATAACAAATTTATATCAGTAATGATTTCTTGGTTAATGTCAAGTTGTCATAACAAAGACATTTTGAATAATGTCAACTTTGTATTAAAAGTGTCATAATTTACTGAATGACGCTTTATGACAACAGCCATAAATATTCATGAAGGCTTATTCATGTTCATGACATGTGTTTATGACAGTGTCATGACAGTCTTATTCAACCCCCTTCAAATAAAGTGTTACCCTGTTTTTGCAATTATAACTAAAAAAACTAAACTAAAAACAATAGTAAATATTTCCACTTTACATTTTTGACAGCCAAATAGTTTGAAAACCACCGAATTATAGAAAATACCCTGAATGTTTGTGATGTGACAAACTACAAACATGTTCAGTTGGTTGGGAAACTTTTCCGAGGTGGTGAATGTGGGAAAACAGGAAGTCCCGCCTCTCCCGTTTTTACTAATAAAATCAAAGAGTAAAAACAGATAATAATAATATTTTGTTATTATTGTTATAAAAAGAAAGCAAGTGAAAACTGTGAAATGTAAAATTTTCAAAGGTTTTTGCTGAGTGAAAATGAAAATGAAGAATGATTGACTGCAGCCAAAATCACATTTTAGACTAACTAGTGTCAGAGAAGCTTTCCCCAGTTATTCATGCTGAGGTTTTCCGATTACTGCACCAACAGTCCAAAGGTCAGGCATGAAGAACGAGCCGCCATGTTCAGCTCAGAATCGCTTCTCAGACGGTGAAACACGCCGTGACCCGGCAGCTCTGACTGTCCTCTGAGCCCACAAAGCCCACAGCAGCTGAACTCACGTTCTGGTACGGCCCCACCAGGAAGCGGTGGTGGACGTATCGCTCCACCAGGCTCGTCTTCCCCACGCTCTCCTTTCCCAGCATCACCACCTTGGCATCCACACGCATGGCGCTCATGGCAGCGAGGCGATCAGTCAGGGCGTCACCAGGCGGCTAAGGGAGCTGCATGAAGAAAACACAAAGAAATACAGTTTATATCAGGAATAAAATCAGAAAAGATGAGATGAAGAAAGTATGAAAGAAATAAATGTGATGGAAATACTAACATTTTTTCCATATTTATCTAGATATAACAGTACCTAGATGCCATGTTTTTCCATGCTGATTAAAATCCTGACCAAAATATCACAGGGACAGAATGAAACATGTTTTTAAAGAAGATCCATAAAAATGACAAAACAGCTTAAGGTTAACCAACCAAACTTAATTTATCAAAATCTCAGATGAAAAGTCAAACCAGATTTTAAAAACTATTTATATCTGGCACCTTCACTGTTTATGAAAAATTATTAGAGGCAAAGGAAAAAAGGGACTTTTTCAAAAGTCGCATTGATGAGATCAAAGTCATAATTTTAGCTTTAGCGAAAAAGAAGTCAGACTATATCAGTGACGGTCAGGGGAGGCAGGTGAGACAGAGCCTCACCTGTTATCATGGAAAAATAATACATAATGATAAAATCATTTATATTGCTATTTTCACCTTGTGGTTTGTACTATAAAGTGCATATATTTCATTTAGCTTAACCAATTCTGATAATTTTTTATTCAAAATTGCTCAATTTTCGCGTTTTCCCATTCAAATGCTCTGAAGCGAAGCCGATGAGGCAGCAGTGAGCCGAGCCTCACCTGGACTGATCAACCTCTGGCTGCACCGGCTGCCATTCGATGAGAGCAGGTCCTCCTGTCTGTACGCCGGCAATGAAATGATTAAAAAACATTTAATGTATGGACTGATTTTCCA